CGGGAGCACAGGGGCGGGACTGTGGTGGAGGGCTGTGGGTGCCTTGATGGTGGGGGTCTGAGGACAGGCGTCTGAGGAAGCCTGAGCGTCTACCTCCTAATCACACACAACATTGTCAGCCAACGAGGTAGGCTCAATAAAAATGAACCATCTTTTAAAGTATTTAAAAAATAAAATTGTGTTCTGAGGTTTGTGAGGGCGACGTGGTGGAAACAACTCTGTAGAACAAGGACTGGCAATGGCGTTTGGAGCTGGAGACCTGCCTGCTTCTGAGAGATTTTGCATTGATTGAGAAAGTAAATGGAAGATTTTGCAATTAGCCAAAAAAAAAGGGGGGGGGTGGAGTAGGAGGAAATCATTAGTAGTATGATTAATTCAACTTCTGCCTTTCAGGGACACACACATACACACCAAAATACTATATGAATTTTTCCTCTGCTCTTGGTCTTTTTTACCATCACGTTATTTATTTCCACTTACATGAACTCATTTTATCATTGTTAACTCATTTTCTCCCACTCTTTTTGAGCTACACTAAGCTGATTTTTAAAAATGATCGCATAAATACAGCTTCCCCGAGATTAAATGTGTACTTCATTGTTCATTCTTTTCATCTGAATAATCAAAAATCTTTACCACAAATACCTTGGCTAATTTATCCTGGTTAGAGTCTGAGTCAAACAGATCTTGTGAAGGTATGTTATCTACACTTAAATTTCTTCATTTCCCACTCACTACATCTGAATGTAGTTTTTAAAGTATAACTTACTAAATATAGGAAGAATTGAAAAAAGCCTCAGCACTTCAAAAGAAGAAGAATGTATTATCTACAGATGTTGGCTTATAATGATTCATATGTGAAACCTATAAAATGCCTCAATACGACATTTTAAGATGAAAATACTGATGAAAATACTGTCCAATAAATGGCCACTCCTTGTTGATCAAAATGCTCTGTCTGTCGCTGCAGGAGCAGAAATCATAAACACTTGCACCAATACCTTCCTTTCTGGAAGCTTCTTCCATACACAGCCAGTTCATCCATGATGAACTTGACCTTTTGCAATGACATGAGGGTTTGGTTAGTGTTTTGTTGTTGTTGTTTTCCCAGTAAAGGGGAGGGCTAAATTATAGTTATCTGTGATTTCAACTGTGAAAAAAATAATCTGTCTCCTTAAGGTCCTAAATTCTTTTTCTCATTGAAAAGATTTCCAAATACTAACTTATCAAGATAATCAGCATGATCTATTGTGTATGGAAGTATATCTCTTGTCTTACATCTTAACTGTAGCTCAATATGAGTAACTGGAAAAATGGAAGTTTGAAGTTCACCTACCTTCCTCCACTTGTCTTTTGTTTTAATTTTAAAAGGGCAGGTTTATTAAGGAGAGGAAAAAGAAAAAGAAAGGCATTTGCCTAGTCACAGGTGGGCAGGAGGGCCGCCTCCATAGGTCTTAAAATTAACTGTAGATCAACACGTATTATAACAAGTCAACCAATACAGAGCAGTGTAAAGAAGTTGGGAGGCCCTCCTTACCAGTGGGTGACGGCTTATCCAACACTCGGACCAAACGTACTTGGACACCCACAAAAATGGGTTTCCCAAATGATTTTGAAAAAATGCTCTAACTGATATTTCAAAATAAGAACTGACAAGTGATCATGAGGGAGATATCAAAAAGCTTTTGAACTTCTTTATAGTTATTTTGTGTTAAGTATTCTGTTAAAGTTTATCTTACAGATTGGTTGTGGGAGAGCAAATATATATCTATATTGTATTTTGTTCAAAATCTGCGTACTTTCCCCATAATTATCATAGAATTGCTCACTTATTTTGAAAGTATTTGTATGTTCACACAGAAATATTGTATATATCAGGTAAGCACTTCATGTTGTTATTTTGTATCAATAAACCATTCTGCTTGTACATTATTCCACTGTTAAATATTTTCTAAATCTCCACTGTCATTAAATATATGGCATATATTTTAATTTATCTATAGAGATATTTTTTTTCAAAAAAAGATTTTCCTGGGATAAATCACTGGATGTTACTGCATTAAATCTTACAAATATCTATATAGAGTTCTTCCTGAGACCAAGCTGCTGATATTAAGGCTTTTATTGATTTGCAGAGGGTAGGCTGTGTGCAATCTGTGGTCAGAAGTAGCCTGGGGCATGATCAAGTGAGAGGCAAGATGGAGAACAAGAAGAAGGCAATTGCTGTAATCCTGGGAAGAGCTGTAGTTCATCACAACTGGAATGATGGCAGTGGGTGCAAAGGAGGAAGTGGGTATGGTATTGAGGAGGTGGATTTGACGGGCTTAAATATATGAGAAGGGGGGAATGAAGAAGACTGGAGCATGAGTCACTTGTCTTTTGAGACCTTGGTGCTGATGGAACAGGTTTGGAGACAGAAGATGCGCTTTACGTTCAGCATCCATCACAGAGGCTCGTGCAGTGAAGCCCAGTGGCTGTTTGTGACTGGTCCATGCACACGCGCACTGCCATGAATTAGTGTTTCTGTTGCCCTGAATCTCATATGTATTGTGTTGTGTATCTCTGGAAGGTCAAGGCGACCGGGGCAAGGCTGAGAGCTGGAACCTTGAATCTGGGACGGTTACTGTCTGAATACCTTGAGCCTCCCAATCTTGAGCCTCCTAATGTCTGGGAACTGCCTGCATTCCAGGAACTGATCAGCATCACTGATGAGTCAGTTTTTGAAAAGCAACTTCCATGCCCTATAAAAGCTTACCCATGTTCAGCAGGGGTTTGACTTCTCCCACCCCCATGGGGGACAGTGTCCCTCTCCTGGGAGTGCAATATAGTTTCTGCTCCTCAGAAACTTTGCCTGACTCTCATCTTTTAACTGTGCCAGAACTTTCAATCTTAAAGCTGATTTACTGTTTTTATCTCCTTGATAAGATATTTAAAAATCTGCACTCATGAGAACAGGGGATGAGAGAATTAGGGGGAAAAAAATGTGGAAAGAGGAGAACGCAAAGTAAAAGCTCAGGACTTCAGATCGAACAGATCCACCCTCCTAAAATTAATCATTCACTTAACACAGTTTACCTTACGCCAGTTTACAGAGAGTTAGCTGTTGCTTACAGAAATGATGTAAGTCGATCTCTTATTCCTGGCTACTACGACTCAGTCTCCCTGAATTCAGAATGGAGTGGTCTCTCCACCTCTGTTCTCTGCTCACCTCAGGTCTCTGGTGACAACTGTGCAGTTGCTCCCCAGAGATCTCTGACCCGAGGTGCAGTCCTCTCAGTGTGGCCACATCTGGCCACATCTGCAGCTAGACGGTTGTGCTAGGAGATTCCCAAAGGTCTGGTGTCTTCAGCAGAACTTGGGGCACATGATTTTTAATTTTGTAATGTGACTTGTGTTGATGTCTTTATATCACATTTTGTTGCTTCGGGTCACTGCATTATCCTGTGTTTGTCTTAGATCCTTTGGAAAGCAAAACCCATGATTTCCATGTACTTTGAAATGCCCTAGGAATCAGGTGTAATGTATAATATCAGGTAAGAAGCCCTTACCCAACATGTCATTATTAAATGGAAGGAAAGTGAGAAAGCAATGGCTTTTTAAAACTTTATTTATGCACGTGGAACTGGGGTATAGGCCAGAGGTGCAGGGGCAGTGAGAGGTTTCACCAGAAACAGAGGGGGGAGCAGAACAGGCAGATCAACAAAGTACACTGCTGAGGGGAGCAGCAGGTGAGACAGCAGAGGTCTGCTGCACCATGTGGGTCACCTCTGGGGCCGGGGATTGAACTCCCACTGAAGCAGCTAGCTGCCAGTGCTGCATCCTAACCTGCTGAGCCAGCAGGGAGGGCCCAAGAAAGTGATGGCTTTTAATGGTCAAGAAAAGGTACCATGTAACTTCTCTTAGGAAACACATGTTTATTGAAATGGCATGTAGATAAATTATCACCAGTATAAAACTGTTAGTAGAGTTTTCAACATAGGTTCTTTTTAACTCTAAAATGAAGTGAGGCTTTGCAAGTCCATTGTCCCATAGGAAAAATAGTATCTTTCTCTGTTCAGATAAAGTCCTCTAAAAAAAGTAAATCACTTTTGAAATGGTCTTTTAAACGTCTCCAGCCTATGACCAAAACAAAAAATATATTAAAAAGGTGTAATTCTCTACATTTGAAAAGAAAAATTAAATATGAATGATTTGGGGGTAACATTAAAAAAGACTTAGGCATTTAAATACCAACATTTGCTTCTATAGTCTTAGTGTATACTGAAATCTTTTCTAAAAAAATCATCAATGCAAATTGGCATGTAATCATTACAACACAAAATATAGCAATAATTTTATTATTTATCTAGGAAATCAGCTAAACTGTCGTCTCATCAAATAAAGTTTAAGTAACTGGAGGTTAGTAATTTGGGAATATAGTCCAGAATGAGTTTTAATTTTCACTTAGGGGTAAACATCTTTTATAAAAGATTTTAAATGAATAAATATAAGTAAGTGAGCAGAAACTTTCAGAAAAGTTTCTATAGTGTATGGGTTAATAGAACAAACAATTCTCAGGGAAAATGATCTATTCATATTCTATTTCAACGTGGTGATCAACCTGTTTGGCTCCCCCAAGATGGTGCTGCTGTCCGTCCCCCATGCCGAGTCTGTTGAATGGAATTATCTTCATGGTGGTTTTCTTCATAGAATACCAACGGGACTTCCAAGTGGCCCAAATAATGCCATTATCATAACCATTAGCAGTAGAAGATTTTGAGTAAGTGCCACCTAAAACAAATTGTAGATGGTCATATCATTGCCATCTGACCTCAAGAAAGGTCTATATAGAATGATTATGAAATCCATCATTACTTCAAGTTGTAGTGATAACTGCTGCCTGAAAATATCATCTCCACAGTCTGATTTGCTATTGAAATAGATTATTAAATGGCCCCTTACATTGATTTGGAGCTTGCTGATGCCATCCAGACTGATCTCATACCTGTCACAATTTACCTACTGTTCCCACTATATGAACCCCAATTATTCTCTAAGCTGAACATTCCTAGGCTCACATACGATAGCCCATTTTTCTTCTAGCATGTCAGAAGTACAATTTCTGATCAGACGGTCTCAGGTTATCTGAAAATGCAATAAGCATGAGGGACTTTTGAAGTAGTCTTGGAATGTTGTTTTATATTTGCATTGTAAAGTGAATACGAGGTCAATTTGCTTTCTCCTTGGCAAAGACAGCAGATCTCAGGAGCTCTGGAAGGGATGGTGGTTGTCTAATACTGAGTGTACCTCAAGCACTCAACCTGCTGCCCTGCAGATCAAGCACCTTCTCTGAGAGCTTCTTCTAGTGATATGGTTTGCAGCTGCAAAGACAGGTGAAGTGTCCTTAAAACATGTTGTGGAAACAAAAAGGTAAATTTAAATAGCTTTTTAGAAGAGGATTCCAGGCAATCTATTGGCAAGGATGTTGCCCCAGGAGCCATTGATAAGATCGCTCATCTGAAGGAGTCTTTTAGCACCTCAGAGCTTCCCTATTAGAACTGTGCATAGTCACACCAGTGTATCTTAAGTAAAACAAGTCTTTAGAAGTACTCTTGCCTTACAGCAAATCAGAGTTTGCCCTCCTTGTTCTAAAACAAGTGCCTCCACTCTTCAGGCTGGACACCTCTCTCCGAGCTCCATGGAGACCCTCCTTTACCAACCTTCCTGCTCTTCAGTCCACTCCTCCAATCACCTACTTCACAGGAAGCTGAGCTGGGATAATGTACTTCAAAGCAACGCTATGGTGATGTTCGATGTTCATCTGTTCTGACCATATACATGCTAAGTCTGGAGGAGATACTGTAGCCCTGATGGTGGTAATTCCAGACACTATGTACCCTGGGTGTTTTGCAACAGATGCCTGTTTTCTAGAAGGACCATCCTGTATAGGCTTACAATGGCTTCTTTATATAATAAACTCCCATTTTTACTATCATCTCTCATTTCCTTCTATTTGTTACCGTCTGTCAAAATGTATCTGCATGCTAAGTCACATGCCTGGGAGGAAACCCATACCTTGGTAGTAAACGCCGTTGAGGTGGCCAGCATGACACTTGTTCATCCACCATCCAGACCCATCCTGTTCAGCACAGTTGCCTTCAAAGTTATCATTGTCATTGTCCCAGGTACTGAACTGCATGCCATTGTGGCCTGTGAAAAACTTGTCACTAGGGTCATCACCGAAATTAAAGCCGTCAAAGGCATCTCCAGCGTCTCCACCGATGAAGTAGGCATATTTCAGGCGGTATTTGTCTTCTTCGGGCCCCACCTTGAACATGGCATAGTCTGCAGTGCTAGGAAGAAGAGAACAGGGATTCATATCCTGAGCTGAGCAGGGGCCTCAGAAGTCCCTTCTTCCATAAGACAGTTGTTTGGCATTTGTCATCTTAATCTTACACCTGAAATGTGTGCATCTGGTGAGGTTATCTGCAAATCTGACAAAAAGCAATGAAAGTCTGGGCTCAAATCTACCATCCAGGATGCACTCAGTAGTCTGTAGGGTGTCCCAGTGAAAACTGTAGATTTCACCCATTGGAAGGCCCTTTGTCTATAAAATCTTGATATTGAAATCAAGATGGATGGATGGATCTTACTCATTTTACATTTGCACTTTTATTTAAGGACTTAGAGTTTTGCCACCATTTTCAGAAACCACAATATTAACCTGACTGTGAGTCGCCACTCACTCTTGCACCACTGAGGAGGCTCACTAGCTCCATTAGTCACTCATATCAGCTGGAGGCTGTGCCTCACAGGGGCTGTTCTTCCCCTGGGGCTTGGAGTAGTGGCAAAAAAAGAGGCTCTCATAAAATGAAAAATACCGAATGGTTTCACTCATAGGAGCGTAAAGGACCAGGCAAGAAAATAGTAATAGTAGTAGTAATAATAATAATAATAATAATGATGATGATGATGATGATGATGATGATATTGGCCAACTATACACCAGAGACATTTATGGGGGTGGAATGGGGAATTGGGATCAAAAACAGTGGAGGGAGGGAAGTGCATTGGACTACAGTGTTGGCACATGGGTGATTTGGTGGTGGGAAGCCCACAGGGATTACAACTGTGGAAAAGGCACAAAATGATGTAAAAATAAACTGTTATATTATTATTATTTTTTAAATAAGCGGGTCTCATAAAGAAATGGTCCCCGTGTGACCTACAAAGTCTGTGCTGTAGGGTTAGAGAGAAGTTCTCCTCCAGATAAAAAATTATAAATGAAGACCAGCATTTTATGGCATGTAGGGGAGAATGGGCCTTGTTGCTGGGATAGAGATTTCCAGGAAATAGATCTTCTTTCCTGATTTCCACCCCTGGGAAATGGGAGATGTTCTTACAAGAGAATATCTACCAACTACTGTAGGTATTTCTGGGTTAAAAATTAAAGATACAAAAATACTCACTTGGAGATAGAATATATATTATTTTCTCATAGACTTAACAAGAAGGGTAGTCTTGTGAATTTTAATTAGGTGAAAAGCTCAAAGCCCATAAATAGCTCTGAGCATAGAGAGGGCTCTACCTTAGCAAGGAGCCAGCTGAATTGGTTTGTAGACAGCCTTGCACCTGACCTATCATTAAAGCACCAGAGAATCTGGAAGAGTCTGGATTCATTCTGCAACCAAGAGTACAAGTTGCAGAGGCAAACTGAAGGCCAACCTTTACCATATGCCAGCAATGTGGGAGATTAATCTGTAAAATCAGATTAATAATAGTTCCTGCCTAATGAAATAGTTATTTGGATTAGATTAAATTGCATATAGACTCAATTTCTGGCACAGATTAAGCACTCAGTAAATACTGGAGATTATTCTTATGGCTTCAGGGCAAGAATAATAGATTATACCAAAACACTAGTAGCCATGTGGAATAAGCCTCTTTGGATAGTTTAAGAACTGGATTGATTTCTGCAGATAATGGCTGGATATTTTCTCCGCCTTTGTCAGGTTGCCTCCGCCACTGTGCTATGGAGACTGGAAGCTGTGTGTTCCAGAGTGTCTCTGCAAGATGAGCAGCCCTTTCCAAGGAGTACCTGGTTCTGCCATTCCAGTCCTCCAGCTCCACTCTCAGTGTGTATGGGATAGCAGACTGTGTGCTTATCAGGTGAATCTTCTCATTTCCCAGCCAAAATTCAGTGGTACCAGTAGGAGACAGATGTCCAAACCCTTCTTTATATTGAATCCAATTTTTCTTAAAGTCCTCACTGCCATCAAGCCTCTAATTATGCAAGTGAATAAGCAAAAGGAGAGAGCAGAGCATCAGTGTACAAAAAAGGGGGAAAATAAATACATGTAAATACTTGCTGAAAATATGAAAGGTATAAATCTACTATCTACTGTCTTATTTTCTCATAGACTTAACAAGAAGGGCAGTCTTGTGAATTTTAGTTAGGTGAAAAGCTCAAAGCCCATAGATAGCTCTGAGCATAGAGAGGGCAGGTGAATTGGTTTGTAGACAGCCTTGCACCTGACCTATCCTTAAAGCACCAGAGAATCTGAAGAATCTGGATTCATTTCGCAACCAAGGAAGCTTCAGCTTCCTTATATGTCAAATGGGAATAACCATGTTTACTTCTTAGGGTTGTTGTGGGGATTACAAAAGAGACTAGCAGAGAAATACTTAAAAGAGTGCCTGGACCATGGTAAATTCTAAATCAGTGGCAGTTTAAAAAGACGCTGATAGCACTTCATAAATCCAGCTGGAGCTGCCTTCTTTTCTGATGGAGAAAATACCAACCCATAGCTGAACCCATCCACCAGCCTATGCTTCGGTCGCGTAAGTCCTCTGGTAGACCCCTGCAGAAGCAGTTGTAACAACATGGTAATGGAGCCTGGAACCACAGATGTGCCCAGGGCGGACAGAGGCAACAGAAACCCTGGTCTTGGACTGGCACCCAGCTGCTTCCTCCGGGGCAGAAGGAGACCTGGCTGCTGAAAAGGACCCTAACTGGCACAGAGTCACTATGCTACCCTGGCACTGAATCAGCGCGCCACCCAGTGTAGTGCAGAGTCAAAGCACAGTCTCTGAAGCCAGACGGTCCTATCTCTGTTACCTGTTATGTCACTTCGGGCAAGTTACTTAACCTCCTGTGCGTCAGTTTCCTCCACTGTAAATAGGAGCAATAATGGTGCCGACCTCGTAGGACAGTCATGAGGGTTATTTGAGTTAATGTTCACAAGATGCTTTGCAAAGCTTGTGGCACTGGCAGGAACAACTGGGTAATGGTTAGATACACAGGCATGGGGGGATACCTTCTGAAGCACTGTCCATCCGTTTCCAGATCCGTCGATTTCACAGTACACCAAAAACTGCTGCACTGCTTTCTGAGGTTTGATGAAGTAGAGTCCGCTGGCTTTGGCGCCCTTATTGGCAATGTCTTGACAATCTGAAAAAGGAGCGAAGTTGTTACTGTGGGTTGAAATCCAAGCGAAACTGTACTGGTTTTGAAAATGAATTTTCAACATGTAAGCTATTTCCAAGAAGTACGTTTTACTTCTTACACTATCGTCTCTTTCAAACTATTTTTAGCTACTCCAGAAAAATCCAAGCAAGTGAACTTTTTAAGATTTAGTGGCTAGTTACTTCCAAGTTCGTCCTGTACATTTCAACACACGGAAGCTCCTTCCGTTGCTGTGTTTTCTTTATCCCGAAACTTTATCCCGAAGCAAGCCATTCGCTTACCCTTTCCGGTGGTTGTCTCTATCTGCACTGTGTCTTTGCAAGGCTCCTGACACTTTGTTTCAAGCTGGGCTACCTTCTGAATCAGGTTAACAATCTTTTGACGGTTTGAACTATATATATCTTGCAAATACCTAGAGGGAGAAGAAGAAAGTGGCAGAGTTGTCTTTTCAGAGGAGTAATTTTGTATTTTCCGTTAAAACACTACCTTATTTTCTGAAGAACTATTCCCCTTTAAATTGCTCTATTCTTGGAAGCATACATTTCTATCACTAAATTGAAGTGAACTAAAATCTTAAGTTTTTTTTTTTTTAGAAAAGAACATTTAGAAAACTATTAAAACAGGAACATAAACTTGACCTGAATATTTTCACCTAGAATGGGAGTGTAGTCTCAACTCTGGGTACAAGTAACAGTCTTTATCTGGGAACAAGATCATTCTAAGCAGTCGTCTGGAGTCACCTGTGTCAGACTCAGCAGATAATGACCCACGGGAGCAATGAGCCAGATCATGGGAACCCCCATCACTGTTCTGGGGACAGAATATTCTTAGGGAAGAAAGGGCTCTTTTCTCTTGATCATCTGCTGAGCATCTATGTATGAACTTCAGTGTATCCGGTAAAAGTATCTGGGACATGACTTTATACATACTATCACAACAGATACTTTCCCTTTCTTTTTAATAATATTTTCACTTCTATAACTCCTAAAAAGCCTGAAGGAAGTAAAAGCCCTGCTTTTGCAGTTTCCCACTGGGCTCCTTATAAATATTCAGAATGACAGAAAACTTCCTACAATAAATAGTTATGTCTTTTGTATTACAAAATCGATTTATTAGAAACAGAAGAAATTTAGAAAGACTGAAAGAAAAAGTTGGTTCCATCTTAATCTTAGGACACAGATTTTTAGGACACATCAATTCTTGTTAATATTTCCCGGTTTCTTTTATGCTACAAAATAAACCCTCTGTTTACTCTCTCTGTGAGCATAAGTGATAATCTCGTATAGTCTAGAGTTATGTCTTCCTCTGCAGGAAAGGAGGGTAGACAGACTATTTGACCACTTCCCCTGCACCTCCTATACCTCAGAAAATTTCAGCATCATGGTTTCATTCACTTCTGTCATGGGCATTTATATGCAAATGGTAATAATAATAATCACCACAATAATAATGACCCTCTAGTACCAGAAGAGGGAGAAATCGCTCCTGAACCACTTCTCCCCAACCACCATTTGTCTTGATATCTTTTGCTCTTTGAGGACATTTTGGGGGAATAAAAGATTGAGGAATAAACCAAAACTGTTGTTTCAGAAATTTATGAATCTCTGAGTGTTGCTGGTAAGCAAAGGCACAAAAACCTACAATTGCAGGGTCAGTGTATCGTAATCCACCGAGAGCTTTGCAATGTTTGCTGCACTTAGTGCCTTAGAACACATCAGTGTCTTACCGTCTCTTCTCTACCTTCAGAATAATTTATTTTTGTAGCCAAGATCCCTCCTATGCCCCTGCTTGCTAATTCCTCACCACCAATGTTTTGACAGTTTTAGAAGAGAGTTTTATTTTCAAAATCTTACAAATTTTTATCTTCAGATTCCTACCTGTTTGAATTTATGGTGTAAGACAAATGGAGTTTGGGGGAGATTTTGATAAAGCCATGACCATACCTTTCTCCCACATGATTATCAAAGGCAGTGCTAACCCACTACAATTCCTATTGCACTAAATCTCCCTCCACTGTGTGTACAATAGCTAGGATAGTGCCTATTGGCAATTAGAAGTAGAAAGCTTAAAAAGCCTCCACTGAAGCTTTGAATACTAAGAACTAAACCATCATGGAGAATAAATTTAAAAAAAAAATTGCTCACTTAATACTTGCTTCATGGTTTAAAATCAGTGCTTCGTATTTTATAATTTCTTCCATCATTTTCTTGGAATCCTTAGTGGCAAGCTCCACCCTATCTGTAATGTGGGATCAGAGACATAAAAATACTTAGGCCAACAGATCCACAAAAACCACCACAAAGGAACTTAGCAAATCATGTTCTCAGTCCATAGTTTCTCACTTGGCCTTGCTGATTCCTCAGGGAGGTAGCTGACTTGAATCGCTTTTACCAGTTCTTTGGCTTCAGATGTTCTGTTTTCAGCTTCATGTAAGATGTTTTCCAGATTCTGTAGGTCCGTGTCTATAGAACTTTGGTACTTAGACAGGAAATCTGCAATTCCACAGGTAGTTGGGCAGTAACTACCCTGAAAACATAGCAATAGGTCATTAAAATCTTGATTAACATGTACATAAAATCTATTAATAAAAACAGGTAAAATAAAGATAATATTAAAAAAAAAAAAAAAGCCTGACAGATCCAGTGATGTTCATGAATGAGTTCCATCTATTCCCCGAGCCCTCTCCACTTCAACCACAGCAAGAAACTTGAAGTCGACTTACAAATCTTTCATCTAAGATGCAGCAATTGTCTCTGGTAGCAACATACTAGAAGAGAAAAATACAGACATTTCATTCATTTATTACATTTATCATCTACTTTCTCACTGTTCCAGCTTTCCATTTCAAGCAATGTTTTGTGAACGACGCACTTACTGCCAGACATGTTGAAGAGACCAACAGAAGAGCATAGAAGGAGAGAATTAAATTCCGGGGGCTTGAGGGCCAGGTCATGATGTCGGGGAGCCGGAGCGGCGTCAGCACTGTGCCTCGCAGGCGTGGGTTGTCCCTTTATGTAAGCTCCCGGGGGGGTGGGGGTGGGGGTGTGTGGGGGAGGCGGGATGGAATGCCGGGGTTGGAGCTGATCACGGGACCTTCCTACCAGGAGGATGGGGGTGTCTTTCCGGTGTCTCTTTCCTGCTCCTGGCTCCCACCCTCTGCTGGTCAGGTTCCCACATTTGGCACACAAGTTTACGCTCCTCCCTTTCTGGCCAGCCCCCACCTTTCACCTTTGGATTCAAATCCTCTGCAAAGGCTAGTGAAGCATTAGCCATGGCGGAGAGGAGGGTGGGAGTCTGGGAAGCTGCGTGATGCAACCCCTTCCAGTACTTGGTTGAGACAACAAACACCAAGCCCTGACCTCCACCAGAACGAGCCCACCCCGGCCTGAAGGTGGAGCTCCAGCTGGCACCCAAGTCCGTTCTTAGCCCGGGGCGGTGATAACACATTTATTCTAACCTGTGGCTGTGTGACAGGAGGAGCCTGGGGCTGGCACATGTCCTGATTTGTTAGAATTCCCAAGGAACAACCCTAGAAATAGCTTCTCGCCTTCTGTGTTGCCCATTTTCACAGACTCAGTTTGCAGCTACCTTTTTGTTCATTAATTCAAGGAAACGCTGCTTTGTACCGTCAAGTCAGCGACCGTGTTCATCGCTGAGCGTCACCACGGGGACACACTACGTTCAATTCACGCAAAAATTGCAAACCCACCAAGCGCAAGGGAGCCTGCCTGCACCCCAACAGTGCCAGCCAGGCGTCTCCATCCGACATGCTGGGAAACAGCCCTACTGTGTTGCCACTGACTTTCCCTCAGAGGAGAGTCTGGTTCCCAGAGACAGGGACTCGGACCCTCACCTAGCAGAGAAGGTCCTGGAAATTTCGTGGAAGAGGCGGGGCAGCATGAGATATTGGGGAGGAACCTTCACGTGGGCTTCTGAGTACCATGATTGCGAGTGTGATGGTTCCGTTTGCGATTATTTGGGCTTACGATGGTGAGAATGTGAAACACATTCAAGAGAAACTGTGTTTGGGAATTTGATCTTGTGTGGGTGCTGTGTTTTGTATTTAGCATCCTGTCATGTCTCCAAATGCCCATCTGAAACAAAACTCAAGATGACTGCCCAGCTGCAGGCTGCTGTCAGTGCTCTGGGCACAGGAACAACAGCTGGGCAAAGCTGTGATGTTCCAGATGTTAGCTGTGTGAAACGCAATTTTGACATATTTTCAACTGATGGGTTTACAGGATGTCATCGTAAATCAAGGCACATCTCTAAACTAGGGAAACACGTTTATCACCATCTCCTATTGATAGTTGTAAATTGTATCCTATCATTAACTCTATCAACACCCTTATATCTGGTTATCCTTTCCTCTTCTGAAACCAAGTTCACTGCAAATTCTGATAAAATATATTTATGAGAAAAGTACCCAGATTGAGAAATGTCAACCTTCTAATGTTTATTCCTATGTTTTTCCAAAAGAATGTACATATGTTGACTCGAAACAAAGATGGATATTCCTATTCAATAAATAATTATTATAAAATACATCTAGGCCAGACTCATTGTCTTTTCTCATTATTAGTTCCCCCCTCTGATGACCAGTTATCACCACATCATCACTATTCACCAGCCAACTGTCATCCCTTATCACCCTTCTTCTCAATGCATCTGATCATTGGCCAAAGTTTTATTGTCAAGCAATTTTCACACTCTTGCTTCTATTTTATTCCTTTAAAAAAAGATTTATTTATTTGTGCATACAGAACTGTGGTTCAGGCCAGAGGTGCAGGGGCAGTGAGAGGATTCACCAGAGACAGAGTGGGGAGCAGAACAGGCAGATCGACGAAGTACACTGCTGAGGGGAGCAGCGGGCAGTCAGGAGAGGTCTTCTGTGCCATGTGGGTCACCTCAGGGGCTGCGGATTGAACTCAAGCTTGCAGTGGCTGTGGTTTGCTTCATAGTGCTACGCTTTAACCTGTTGCACCACCAGGGAGGGCCCTATTTTATTCCTTCTTTCAATGCCCATGCTTGACCCATTTCTTCTTGTCTGGACAGTGTGCTAAGTGATCTTCCTGCCTGCACTGCGGTTCCTCCTGCTCCCAGACACTTAACATGGCTGACAAATCACCTTCCTGGAGGGAGCTCTGATTTGGACTGTGGTCTGCTCAAAGAACTTCAGTGACTATCTCCCATTATAGTGGGTGGAAACATAATGTCCCTTCCTGCCTTTGCTACTGATTCTCTCTTGGTTCTGTCCTCCAGACCCTGTAGCACTGAGCTACAGCTCCCTGCCGTGCACCACGCAGCGTTACTTGTCAGGTTGTTTTGCTCTCCATATGCAGTCCCTTCTGACTTCATACATGCTCCTGACTATCTGGCTGTCAAGCTCCTACACAACTTTAGGTGTGAGTTTAGGGATAGGTGCTGTTTCATGATTCCACGCCCTCCAACACCAAACCCTAAGCTCTGTAGACCAGCTTCTTCTTCCTTTTCCTGGCCTACTCTTTCTCTAGAATTTGGAACATATGAACCTGTTACCGATCTGAAAAATTGCATACAATTAAAATATGTAAACATTGATCTTTTGCAGTGATTTATTTGTTGTACTACTAATTATTTCTTCATTTTTAATCAGAATAAAAATATGCCTAAGGCATTGGCTTCTCAGGATTATCTAACCCAACTGAGGAGCACATGTATAAGTAGTTGTTAAGTGCCCTGCATTTCCTCTGTGTGGTTGACGTTCTGCTCTATGACTTACCAGCTGTGTCACTCAGTGCAAGTTACCTAACCTCTCTGGGTTTCAGTACTCTGTACAAATGGAAATAATAGGTACAATATAACATCTACTTCTTATACCTATTACCAGGATTCAGTGAAATAATGTGATGAATCTGACTGTTGCCCTATTCCCAGAAAGTGTTAAGTAAATATCTATAAGGTGTATAAGTTACCAAGTGTTTTAAAGTGATTATTGAAATGTGTATGCATAGGTATATCATCTCACCAGAACTACAAGAGCTATGGAAGTTGCTAAGTTTGATTCACGAGAAACAAGATTTGTTGTTCCAGGTAGAGAACTAGGTTGTCTTTAATAAAATGAGCTGTTGCTTGTTGCTGTTTTTGTCAGGCTTTTCGGAGAAGAAAGCATCTGATCATCTAATTCAGATGGAACATCCACCTAAGTGACTTCAGCCAATCAAACTAGACTGCACACCTACAAGAAGGATTACTTCCTGTCAGAAAGGGAGTTCAGGCCAAAGCATTTTCCAATTGAAGGAGACTGTTGTCGTTGTGACCCTTTGCACAAAAGACAACCCAAAAGTCAAAGGTAACAATCCATAAACTTTTGCTAACTGTTATGCACACATGGTTGAAAAGCACTCACATTGAAAGTTGGAAAGTCTTGGCCATTTTGAGAAGTGTAGTACTTACTTTTCTGGCATTTTTGTTAATCTGGTTGTTATCACAATTTAGAGGCAAAATTTGCCTCTTACCAGAACCTCAAGTCCTAAATCAAAATCTGATTAGATTAAATCTCTGAAAGACTTTGGCCACCAGTGATTTACCCACCCACATTGGCCTTGAAATCCATCTACTACCCCTTGGATTTGTTAAATTTTAACTAGCTGTTCTCTCCATGTTTGGGCTATTTTTTTGCCAATAAATTATAAATAATTGATGAATTCCAGGAAAGAAAAATGTTTCTCAAATCACTTTTCCTCCACATCCAGGCTAATTTTCTCACAAAATAGAAAAGGCAGCACTTATGCCAAAATAATCATTTATTTAATTTAGAGATCAATGAACTTGCTTATGCAAATAATAATTTCCCAAAGTATCTGTCATCTAACTGTGTTCTGTTCTGAAAATATAATTTTTACTGCTAATGGTTTCCAGGTAAATTGACTAGTTACTCTGGAATTCCTTGTCTGTTTTGTCCATTTCTGCTCCAAAATTGTTTGCCTCCTTGCATCTGATCAGGTAGAGTCACTCTAAGAGTTCCTGGCCTGGTCATAAATGATACAGACCTGAAGGAATAATGGAGGGAGTCCCCAACTTGGGGGACTCTTTATGCCAGGTGTCATAGTGTAGTTCGGTTGCTATTTTATATATTCTCTCAATATAATAAAGCATCGTTCTTATCTAAGGTAAAAAGTACACAGATATAAGATGTTCTGAATATTAAAGCTATTCACTGTTGGAATGAGTCCTAGTGGAGTTGATGGATTTAAAAAATAATGTGTGTACAAATATATGGGTGTGCATATAGGGACATATATTTATGTAAATCCATCTACCTAATCTGCCTTTTGGTAGCTTCTCTAAGTTAGAGACAAGGTTGGCTGGATGGTATTTTACACTTGCTCAAAAGACTGGATTTTAATTATATTCCGATGCTTATATTTTCAGTCCAGTTTTGGATGAAAACAGTTTTTCAATGCTGGCCACACAGTTAATAAGCATCGATGAACTGAATTCTCCCATCCTTGAGGTCATCCAAGGAAGTGGAATCCATGTTCATAATCACATAGATGTTTCTAATAAGTAAGCCATTTCTAAATTGATATCTCACTTCTCAAAATTGGATGCCCTCAAAATAGGCATAGAGAAAATGACCTGTTGACATGTTGCAAATCAGTCCAACCTAAGAGTAAAAATATCCCACTAAGGGAAACAAAGTTGTCTGTTAGGATATTTGTTTTGTTCATAAAAATAGCCCAGGGAAAGTGAAAATGAAAATGTTGTCTTGCTAGCTTGTGAACTATGAGCCTTTAGAATCGCTATTTTAAGTCAGACAGAAGACCAACTTGGGCTGTATATGGGATTCTCTCCGGGGTCAAGGGCAGCAGCCAGGCTGGATTTTGAGTGTTTTTCCTTCATGATATGTCACTGGATATAGCAGTGAATGCTCTGATGGAGGAAGCAGGGTGAGGTGAGGTGGGGACATTTAGCAAAGTAAGCGACTAGTGCCCTGAGAAAAAGGATGATCCTACCCAGAATTCCTTCTAGAACCAAGAATGGTCTGGATCAGCCATTTAGATTTAGATGACTAAATTTTAAAGCAGATGTTCTAAGGTTGTCCTGGGTTGAGGCAAATTGGGGTAGAGAAGTTAGAGTTAGTGTTTGCTGAGCCAAATTGGCCACTGTGTTCTAGTTGTTTATTTGTTTGCTTCCATCTTCAAAATATTTAATCTACAATTTGAGATTCCTTGCCCTATATTGATATTTTCACCAGCCAAATGTGATCAGTAAAAGGTTCACAAAAATGGGTGTCATTTTAAATGCCTTGCAACATCCTAACTAGAAATTTAGTCATTTCTACCAATGGAGTTTGAAAACCAAATCTCCTTTTTGATAAATAATCATTTTGCTTTCAAAGTCTAAAAGTTATTTTCAGAAACATACCTTCTTCTAGCCAGACAAAGACATACCCCAATGCTTTAGGGTATGACAGGTATTTTGATCACTATTATTTTTCTGGAATTTTCTGTTTCTTTGTGTTTACTATCCTTACCGTTAGCCAGAAGCTACAATGGATTTTGCATTCAACTCTCTGTGCGTTTTCCTTTGCATACAAATACTATATTGCTTTCAAATGATGATGTAACATGCTGACATTTTTATTGGAAGATGTCAAATTTTAATACTTTGTTCTCTTAGAAGATGGTAATATATGTTTTATGTAGTAAACATTTGAATTTTAAAAATTGCAAGGGAATATATAGTTACTGTCTCAAGAATGCTCTAGAGAAAGTTTTTTAAGCCTCTGAGTAGAGATACCAGCGAAGGGTGAAGGGGGAAGTTCTCTGCCTATTTTATCACATGAAGTGTCTTTAAGGAAAAAAAAAATCTATATATTTATACCTATATCTATATTCCCAAATAATAGGGAAGGAAGAAAGAACAGCAAATGCTATCAGAGCAACAAAACAGCATCTCTTGCTTCATGTCCCACTTTAGCTTTAACCTCCAATTTTGAATGAGAGCAAATAAAATAGTCTTGGATCTTTGTTTTAAAATCTAACTATTTGGGTGGCTTCACAAACTAGCTGTGATAACATTCCAGTCCTTTCAATTCAAAGTTAAATCCCAAGAGCCTATGTTGTGTGGAGAGGCTATCTTTTTATTGACATTTGGAAGAACTTGCTTCATCTGTGAAAGCTGACATACTGGCGGACTCCTTCTTCAAATGCAGATTGCTGTGTATGCTTTACCTTGGGTGCTGGAGCACTGACCTCCAACCAGTAACCAAAGATACAATTTACAAAAGCACAAATATTTACTGAATGTTTTGCAAGGAGGACCAGCGTGAAACTACCCTCTGGGTTCCTAACTGCGTGCCAGTATGTTATAAGGAACGAACAGTCTTCCTGCAGGAATATGTAGAACTGGCTCATCCATCGAGAAACTAATAAATCAAAATGCAGGACACTGTGTTTCATCACTAATAAGCAACTAAGAGAAATTCTATGTACCAAGATCCGGGAAACCACGTTTTTAATCATGCATCCTTGAGTCAGAAAACTGCCCGATGTTCTCATAGCACTACTTCTGCAATCTCACCACCCTGGCTTATTAAGTTAATTTCCCCACTAATTCTCCATCAGTATGGAATATTATAACATGTCGTCTTTGATAGGTATGGAAAACTTGCCTCACCCCCTCCTCGTCCTTTCCTGGCTTGCTCAATGATCCCTAGCTCTGACACAGGGCGGTCGAGAATTACTCTAGGAATCCTCCTGAAATAATGCTTAATCAAACACACACCTCCAAATGGGTGAAGCTTCAGACTGCCCTGTGATGGTCCTGTGGATCCTCAAGCCAGGTGTTCATTGGGTGGGTGGTATATGTCAGGCCCTGCTTGTTGAAGTCAGCAGACAAAGCAGACAAAATCCTCAGTGTCAAGAATTTTACAGCCTAGTAGTGAGAAGAGGCAGAAAAGAAAATGCACAGTGACATCAATTTTCTACAATCTAGGACCTGGAGCCAATCTTTGATATATAACGCCCCAGAAAGATAAGCCCTGTCTCATCGCGTCTGTGGGAGGGATGGACCATAGCCTAGTAAGGGCCACTTAGCAAACACAAACACAAACACAAACACAAACACAAACACAAACACAAACACAAACACAAACACAGGTGGCCTAATTACATTGATCAACGCCCCATGAGGGTCCAGCTTATTCCAGAGTTTCAAAATTTGCCCACTTTTTGTTTCAGGGGAATAGAATTCAATCGAATAAAATCTTCCTTGTATGTTTCATACTGATTGATTATTCTATCTTTTGATTAATTGATCGACTATTTAAATATATCAACGAGTGGCAAACTGTGAACAAATACGAAAAGAAAAGTGTGAGATCAACAGCCAGCTGAGACTGATGGAAGTCTGGTAAGGACACCGCCAACGCACCAGGGCAGGGGCCAGCCCCAGCGATGCCTGGTTCACCACTGCCACCTGCAGGCAGGTGTACCAGGAGCGTGGGCCGGTAGAAGTCTACATGTTTTTGACTTCCAGCTGTTCCAGATTTGACAAGGCTGTGAGAATAAAGTAGAGGTGCCCTGAAAACAACAGAAGTCTATCTAGACACACTGTCTGGCCCGAGCAAGCCCCACAATGCCACAGCACTGAGGAGATTTCCAGGAGCTACTCAGTCATCTCTCTGGATCCATTCCTCGAAGTCAAGGAAGAGGCCAATTACACAAACCCCTGAGTTGCTCCCACTACCTGGAGCAAGTGTGTCCTGACCACTTGAGCAAAGTCAGATAAAATACTGGGTGGTGGGAAATGAGAGAATCACGCTGTGCTTTGTGCCGGGTGCTCTCAGGTGTCCGCACCGACTTAAGGAAATGTCTTGTGTGTTGGGGAAGGAGCCAGCCTGTCCTGGTTCTGTGCTGTAACCCCAGTCAGCACCAATCAGGGCGATGACAGCCTACATCTGGGAAATTTTGGCCAGGTCTTAAGTTCTCCACACCCTCCACTCCATTACCACCGGGCACAGCAGACCTCTCCTGTTGCCCCGCTGCTCCCCTCAGCAGTGTATTCCAGTAGATCTGCCTGTCCTGCTCCTCGCTCTGTCTCTGGTGAATCCTCTCACCACCCCTGCACCTCTGGCCTATGCTGCAGTTCTTTGTATGTGTAAATAAATAAAAAAATAAATCTTTAAAATAAAAAAAGAACAAAATGGGGGTTGCCAGAAGGGAAGAGCAAAGGATGGTGGGTAAACTGGGCTTAAGGGGCCAATGATACGGTGATGGGTAGAAACTAGATTTTGAGCATAAGTGTAACATAGTATTTACAGATAGATGAATGAGCCTATACATCTGAAACCTCTTTAATGTTATAAACCAATATTCCTTCAGTTAAAAAAAATGTTAGTTGCATTTCACACTCTGTGGGCTGTAAGGAAACATACCTGTGCCTCCTCGCCTGCTGCCAACCCCACCTGCCTAGGTGTGTGCTATACCTGCTCTGTCCTTCAGGAAGCCCTGCCTGCCTCCTACTGCCCCAGGAACAGGGACGGGCGCTCCAGCAGCAAGGAAGACAGAAGTGATATAAACAACTGGAAATGCTTAAAACTAGTAAGCTTCTGCACAGCGAAAGAAACCATAGCTAAGCCCAAACATCACCCTACTGCACACCATACATCTGACAAGAGACTAATAGCAAAGGAACTTATACAACTCAACAAAAAGAAAACAGATAACTTAATCCAAAAAATGGGCGAGAGGGCCGAGTAGGCCCTTCAGAGAAAATACACAGATGGCAAACAGGCACGTGAAGAGATGCTCATCGCCAGTCATCTCCCGGGAAATACCAGTCACGGCCCCTCTCAGATGCTATCGCACCCCTGTGAGAACGGGTCGTCCCAAAGGACCAGAAACAAGGGCTGTGAGGACGGATGAGGCTATCAGAACCGAGAGGGAAACAGTGATTCGGTCCCTCAGTCACGTCCCCATCCTGCCACATGACGAAGACTTGAGAACTTCAAAGCGAAAGCTTTGGACTTGACTTTCCGGTTGCACAGCACCTAGCCGGCACGGGAGATGTCTAGGATGACATAGGGGTTACTAGAGCTAGCAGCCGCAAGTTGGGCGTTCGTTCGTTCGTTCGTTCGTTCTGTGAACGGACACGAATCTCTGTGAAGTGGTGTGATAGCGCCACCTGCTGGTGACATTATTTTCCTCCCAGACAAGCTCTGCTTAGTAGGGGAGTGGATACTTACTCCCTACCCTGCTCCTTAAAAGAAGACACGCAGGTAAACAACTCGTTCTAGATGTGTGTCATTTATTGTCTGAATGTCAGGCTTCTCTGCTTTTGTGCTGACAAAGGAGAGGACAAGGGAAGGAATCACTCACCCCTGTCGACCAGTGTTCGAGGTGGGGCCCTCTACTGAGATGAACTCAGAACGTGATGTGCCTGGCATTGGTGGGGTCATGGAATCTGGGTGTGTCTGACTTTGCTTCTTCCTGGGCCTTCCAGTGCCGTATAAATAAAACACGTCAGCCCTTGTATTTTGGCCCTCGGTTGTTCATTCCCCCACAGTATGCTGGGTCCCAGGCACTCAAAGCCTGTGGGCACCAAAGCCAAGTGTTCATATTTCAAACATATTGGATTGTTTTAAACACAGCTCAAAACAGCAGATTTTGAGCTCTTTAAATCCAGCCCGTTTTGCATACCCTTAGAAATGCATCCAACACCAGCAACCAGAGAAAAGACAAACATTGTAGCTGATTGAAGACCCTTCTGGAAACTGCCCAGAGCTTCCCAGAGGAGCTTCCCAGACATCTGCTAAATCCCTTCTCTGATCTGCCTCTGCCCCAGGGGCTCCCTGGTGCTCCTGCCCTTCAGGTGCCCCCAGTTGCTATAGCTGCCAGAGGTCGGCCCCTCCCCAAATAAAGCTTGCAGTGCTGCTCCCCCATGATTCTCACATCCTGCCATCTCTTTCCCCAGTCAGTTTCAGAAGCAACCCCTGGAACTCATGCACCCAACAACTCAGAGAAAGGAAATGAGCTGCTCCTCTGTCCCTGTCTGGCTGTCCTCTGTGGCCTGCTTCTTTACGAAAACAGCAGTTTCCCAAATAGGGGCAAAAAGGGCTTGTCGGGACTGGGGCGCTAGGGGTCCCTTTCAGAGGTGTAGGGGAAGCTGGCCACAACAGTGATACACGCTCTTAGTGAAAGACCAAACTGATGCCAAGACAGGCTTCAGGATGCTTCTGAACCAACCAGGCCTAAGTTTTGGTTAGCAACAAGGTGCCAAGGCCGAGTTTAACTGTAAATATCCTAATCTTGCTCATCCCATGGCAAGTAGGCAAGTAACCAGTACATATCAGGAAAACGCCAGGTGTCCTAAGGTATGTGGCCGAGTAGTGAAGGTCACATCTTACATGCATAGACCAACCGGATTAAGACAAGATAACTTTGTTCAATGTCTGCCAGTCAATGTACTGCTGAGCTAAAACTCCCCTCTGCTGAGCTGAAACTCCCCTTCTTCTGCAATAAAAATCCTGCTTCCCTGAGCTTGGGGCTCTCAACTTCAGCCACTGCGTTGGTGCATGTTGGGAGTCCAGGCTCAAGCTTGCAATAAAGACCTCGTGAGCTTTGCATTGGAATCGGCTCCTTGGTGGTCTTTGGGAAACTCGAATTCTGGCACCACATTAGTGTGTGTGTGTGTAGGAGGTGGGGGGGCTCTTTCCCTGGGCAAGAGCTGCCCCAGCTGTAGGCAGAGGGGGTTTGCTTGCTTCTGAGTTCCATCAAGGGCTGCCTGTGTTCGAGGCATGGCTGGTGGAACATGGAATGGAGATCCTGCCTAGGAGAAGAGACAGTCCTGTCCAGTGTCCACTGGAGAAAGGGCATGGGGACTGAGCTGAGAGCCTGGGCTCAGTATTTAACATCTGTCAACGTTTGACAGAGTTTCTAGATGATTCCTTGTCCCCTGATGACTAAATGTGCAAATTAGAGCACCCTCCTCCCAGTAAAGGATGGGACCGACTGTTCCTGTGTTGACTGCCAGCCCCTGGCTCTGTCATCTCAGGCAACCGTGAAGCTCCTGTTCCAGCGTCCTGCTCCATACCACAGAGGTAAGTAACAGGACCCAGCCTTGGCTAGGTTGTGCCTATGAAATATGATCATCATTTATTTGTTCCTAATAGAGGCAGAATAACAAGAGAACTGAGAGGTCAGACTGTCTGGGCTTAGACTACAGTCTTAAAACTTACTTCTAGCTGTGTGACCTTGAAAACGTACTTTTCTGTGACTCTGTTTCCTTGTCTGGGGATAATGACAGTATCCATTGGGTGCTAATAAAGTAAACTAATTTAAGAGAGCTTATTTTATTATAAAGTAAATAAAATAATTTATAAGAGCTTATAAGTAAGGAAAATAATTATAAAAGCTTATTTTATTATAGAGTAAACCAAGCCCTTAGGAGAGTTTCTGGCCTGTGTCAACTCACACTACTTTGCTCTGAATCACCTACCTGCACAGATAACGCCTAAGGTGTATTATTAAGACGCTATGAAGCACGCAGGCCTGTTTTCCGTTACCTTCCTTTTAGTATGCCAGTTTACTTCTAACTTAAAGACTTGCTTTGCCAAATTTAATGCAGAAAGTTGACCTCTTGAGACTTGTGTAAGAAAATCACATTAGTGGGCTCAAAATGACTCAGTATTAAGTGGGAGGAAGGAAGCTAGCTGCCCTTCTGTCCACAAGAAACGAGCTAGATGGTAAAGTCCCCGAGCCCTGGCGTCCCAGGCAGCACGCAGAGATCCCAGTGGGCCGCAGACCCGAAGGTTCTGGTGGCTGTAGGACCCCCAGCTTGTGCTCAGCCCCAGCTAGAGAAGCAAAACTGGCCTTGCTACAGTTCTCTATCCCCTTGAGAGAGAAGTCGGGGCTGCCTTATCCTTAGACTCCGGGGTGTTTTTCCTTTTCACATTCAGACTTCGGAATGGAGCATTTGGGGAGTTCGACGGTAGCCATTTTTAACGCAAACTCCGAAAACCGAGGAAAGGGTCTGGGGTCACGTCCCGGATTGCTAGAAATCCTGTGCGCGCAGATGCTAGGAACCCTGGGCCTCCAGCCCAGGCTGGCGAGCGCC